CAAGCATACCTCCAAATTAGTTACAAAGTGGTTTAAGGACAACAAAGTCAAAGTTTATGAGTGGCCATCACAAAGCCCTGATCTCAATCCCATAGAACAGAGGTTCCCAAAGTGTGGGGCCCTTAGGTGGTGAGGGGGGCGTGAACATTTTTCTAGTAAAACAAAGGGGGGCCTAGCAAGAAAGTTTGGGAACCACAACCATAGAAAATTTGTGGGCCGCACTGAAAATCCGAGATGAGCAGGAAGGCCTTCAAACCCAACCCAGTTACACCCGCTCTGTGAAGAGGAGTGAGCCAAGATTCAAGAAAACTATTGTAGAAAGTGGAAGGAAACTCGAAATGTTTGGCCCAAGTGAAACAGTTTCAGAGCAATTCAACTAAATACTGTGGAAGTGCATGTATAATTCTGACTTTGATGAAAGTAATTTTAAAAAAGTAATTTAAAAAGAACAACAACAATTCTCTCTATTTATTCAGGCATTTCACAAACGCAAAAACTATGTTAATATTTATTGATCTAAAACAAAAAAAAATATCTGGTTTAATGTCTAAGGAGCTTGTAAAGAAAAGCGTCTGGACTTCTTTAAGTTGCTTGAAGACGTTTCACCTCTCATCCGAGAAGTTTCTTCAGTTCTGAAGAAACTTGATTTAACATCTGATTTAATGTTAAATCAGAAAAATGTTTTTCTGTTTTTTTCTCAAGTGTCTGTAAATATCTGGTTTCAACTTAATCACATCAAACATAACAATAAACAGAAGCTTTAAATCTCACTTCCACTTAGTGCTATTTGATCAGGTGTGTGATAACATCAATATAAAATCTTAGAACAAATAAATATTCAGCTGTGGTAGATATCCAACTTAGAAAATATGCTGATTGGATGACAGACTTTTTCTATTTTTCTGCAGTGTTTTTTACAGTGTTTCATTGTCTTTTACCCACTATAATGGAAGATTTGTTTTTCTCCTCATTTAACCTCAGTGTACTGTTGGTATGTGGCTCTAAGTTTGTTAAACAAAGAATTAGTGAAGATTAGAAAACAAACCAATTGTAAACTGTGTTCAAGGCCATGACTCACTCTGTGTCTTCCTTTTCAGGCCAGTGCATACATGGCTGTGGGAACGGAGCTCCCTACAGTTGAACAGACAAAGACTGTATCCACACGATGGCCATAAAAGAGGTTTTATTATTTTGCCTATTTTGTCATGCTGGTACAAACCCTGTTCAGGCTTTATTCATCCCTTTGCAAAAGTTTTAACTTTCTTTTAATAAATCTCAGAAAATCATTTTGATTTTTTTTCCACAACACCCACATCCAAAGTTTCTGCTTTGACTGATATTTGACTGTTGATGTCACAGACCCCGTGCCTCACCGGCTGATTCCGTGTTAGGCAACATGTGTTTTGTTCTTGTTCTCTCTCTCTCTCCCCCTCTTTCCCCGGCCACATCGGTGCTCACTGTGGGCTCCGCCCCTGGCCCACACACCTGTGCTCATCATCACACCTGCGCTGGTTACTACAATCAGAAGGGCTTTTTAAGATGGCAGACCTACACTACTCGTCGCTGGAACGTTGAGTCACCCGCGTTAGTGCTTCAGCAATCTGCCTAAGTCTGTGAGTTTCCTTGTGATATAGTGCTAATTGGATTTAACTGCCTTAAAGCAGCCTCTCCTCCTAGTGCGTTGGTCTCCTCTGAGCAGCCTGTGTCCGCCAACTTGTCAAATGTCCCTCCTGTTTACCACGACCTTGCAGAGGCTTTTCTGAAGGACCGGGCTCAGTCATTGCCTCCACACAGACCTTACGATTGGATTTTCTGTGTGTGCGTGTAGATTCCCCCCGGACCCGTCCCTGTACCCCCGAGTGAACGAGAGGAGCGACTGGAGTGGGAAAAGAGTGGGATTGTTGGCTGAAAGAGCAGAGTGTGGTTTTGGACCCTTCCCCCCTGGAGCCCCGGACCCCTTCCCCGAGCACCATATATAAAAATATATGGTGAAGACATAGCTGTTCTTTTGTGCTGCTTTTAAGCGAAATATTCTTTGTATGTGAGGCCAAGGGTGTTCATCCTCTTCAGCTCTAGCGTAGACAATTGGCTCTGCCATGTTTTCATGTGTTTCTTCTTTCCGTGTGTCCGCTACTTTGAAACTCTTGGGCCGCTCTGCCAGTGTTGCCAACTCCTCAGTAAGGAAAATCGCTATTGGCTGTCCTAAAAGTCGCTAGAAGTCGCTAAATGACGTCATCACCTAATTTGCATAATTGGTCATGCTAATGTAATTGTAATCTATGTTGTTGGAGAGAGAAATAACATCGTGGAAGAGACATAAAGTGAGTAAAAAACGTCCAAAATGCATTTAGAGTTTATTTAGAACTACAAATTAAATTTATTTTAGCAATTATTGTTTTTTGTAATGTCATAATTCCAACCCTGCTCCTTTACCCGGGCTTGGACCGGCAAAAGTGACCCGAAATAGGCACTCTGGTGGAGTTACTTTGTGTGTGTGTGTTTATAAGTAGTTTTAAACCTTGTGATCCACAAAACAGTATAACAGTAAAAGAGTAAAAGAAGAACTGACTGCGTTACAGCACTCGCTGCTTGTTGAGAGTAAAAGCGATATGCGCTTTCACGTCTTTTTTTAGGGGGTCTGAAAACTCGCTAAATATAGCGACAAAGTTGCCAAGTTGGCAACACTGCGCTCTGCCCGCCACAGTTTAAAACTGGTCATGTGACTGCATGGCGATATCTGATTGGTAAAAAAGTTACCGGAAACTCCACCAGCGGCATGTTATCTAATGTGTTAAACTAATTTTTTTTTTAAAAGTAAAGAGTCGAGTTTTGCAAATGTAGTGGAGTAAAACTACTGTTTTTTTCTTCACAAACGTACTCAAGTAAAAGTAAAAAGTATCGTGCAAAAAAGGTACTTTAAAAGTACTTTTTTTTTTCCAAAAACGTACTCAAGTAAATGTAACGGAGTAAATGTAACTCGTTACTACCCACCTCTGGAGATACCCTAGATTACTTTTTTATATTTCAGACCTTTAGATTTAGATTTGTTGATTCATTTATATTGTACCGTCTGGTGGTGAGTCACTATTGATATGTACTATTATTTTATTCATGAAAAGAGTTGAGTCAGTGAATTCAGTATATTGTGATGAAAAGAAATACCTCCACATTTTCGTTGTCAATCGTTGTCGTAAGAGACGTCAAAAGTTCCAACTCATCCTTGAGCACATTGTACACCTTCGAATCCTCACTACACTTCACCTGAAATGTTACATGAAGAAAGAGCAGAAGTCAGAAATGCTCATGTTTTAGACATAATAATGATAACACAACCAGTGTCAAAGCTGTAAATCAAAGCTGTATTATGTAAATATAAGGTAGTTGATGTAGCATGATGTGTAAACAGCATTAAGTGTTGTTGGATGATGTCAAAAATCTTGGAGTGGTAGGATCTCAGTTGCGTTTGTTTGTGGTTAATGATACAGAAACTGCTGCTGGTCAAAACTGCAGGAATATAAGTGCACAGGTCTTTGATCATTGGGAGAATAACAGCCATCACATATGTGCAAAAGTATTCGGCCCCCTTGGATTTTTCCACATTTTGTCACATTACAGCCACAAACATGAATCAATTTTATTGGAATTCCACGTGAAAGACCAACACAAAGTGATGAACACGTGAGAAGTGGAACGAAAATCATACATGATTCCAAACATTTTTTACAAATAAATAACTGCAAAGTGGGGTGTGCGTAATTATTCAGCACAGCCCCCTGAGTCAATACTTTGTAGAACCACCTTTATCTGCAATTACTGCTGCCAGTCTTTTAGGGTATGTCTCTACCAGCTTTGCACATCTAAACAGCTCCAGCTCAGTCAGATTAGATGGACAGCGTTTGTGAACAG